TATATTAACCACTACAGTATGAAGCAACATCAATCACAAAATATGGGGGCATACTTAGCACCCCAGAGGGTGTTCCCTGGAGCCCCTCCCCTTTAGGGCCCCAGGATGTGGACATCCTCTACAATGGAGAAGGGTGAAGGCTGCAGACCCTCCTCTCCCAAGCCCACCTCTCCTGTGGGACCCACTTCCCCAGCAATTCTCACTCCCGCTATGAAGTAGCCAAGGCTCATCCACAAGGGCCTCTCTCCGGCAGTGCCTCTGGCTCCTCTTGATGGCCTGGTGCCCCACACTGGGCATCAAGGGCGCTCCTACAGGAGCTGAGCCCTTAGTGGCTCCAGTTCCTCAGCCTCAAACCAGGGGCCTTTCCTTTTCCTGGGTCCTGCTCTGGGCACCAGGGCTCTTTTATATAAATGCAGAGCCACACTGCAGGGCTCCAGTTCCTTGGCCTAGAGCCAGGGCTAACTTGAGCAGCCTTGAGCTGCTCCCAGGGCCAGTTCTCTGTGTGCTAACCTGTGCACCGTGTGGGGCCTGAGCAGCCTCGAGTTGCTCCCTGGGCCAGCTGTCCATGCACTGATCCATGCACCACCTGCTTGCTATATCTTAGGCTCAAGCAGCCTCGAGCAGTTCCTAGAGCCTGAGCACTGTGTACCAATCTGCACGCTGTCAAGGCTCAGGTGGAGTCCCAAGGATGGTCGTCTCTGGAGCTCTTCTCTCCACACCGTCCCTCACCACATCTCTCCCCCAGTTTGCTGAGCACAGTCTCATTTTATATGTTTTGGGGGTTCTGCCCCTGAAGTCCAGTGGACCTGCCGTGCTGCAGTCCACAATCCAGTCAGGGAGCTCCTCTTTCTCTCCCTTTGGGGAAGGGGTGGTGCCCACTTTCCCCCAGCTTGTTTCTGATTGGTGGCTTGGCTCCACCAATCAGAATTGAGGATTCTCGAGCCCCTGGACACATTAAAGCTCAATTCAGTAAGTCTGTACTTCTCAAATTAAAAGTAATGGAACAACTAACACCTGGCTTGTCTTGCATGTCTGTAAACAAGAATAACCAGAATAAGTCTCTTTCTTGTATAACAGTGCCTATGACTTAATGAAGCATACACTCTGTCTCCTGAAGACAGTATAAATTTCTAGAGAACTATCCATTCCTTAAAAAGCCCAGTGATTTTTATAATACTTTCAGGGGTGGAAAAAAATGTTCCACTGCTAAGTTGTGCTTAAGTAAAGAAAGATATGGAAATAGCATGATCAAGCAGTAGAACAGCATTAATGCACAGAAAGGCATCCTGACACTTCATAAATCTGCTGACTCAGACATGTTTGGTCTTTGAATCAATTTTTTTTCTTGTACTATCATAGATTGCAGCCTTAAATCTGATGTCAGAACACATAAAAATGAATGTGCTTCAGAGCCATAGCAAAGCAGGACAGGTAGCAGTGCTTAAGGATAGCTTTAAACACAAGCAGTGACTGCTTGAGGTCCAGTACCTAAGAGGGATCTAGAAGGCTTAGGCTGTACAATGAGAGCCCCCTGTGCTTGAACTGGACCTGAAAATGCTCCCATCACTGAGTTCTGTGACTGGCCTCTCAACTTTCACTGTAAAGAAGCACTACCCTGGTCAGGAGGGCCAGATTACGACAAGGTGGGGCCCTAAATTAGGGGTTCCCAACCTTTCTATGTCACACCCTGGCAAACTGTGGATCAGAAGTGGACATAGCCCAGCAAACTGTGGACCACTGCACATAGCCCCACAGATGGAATTTCCAGCTGGAAAACAGGTAAACATACCTCCACCCCACCCCCCGGGTGGGGGGATGGGCCTAAACCTCGACCATGGCTGCCACGGGCCCTGTGAGAGGAATCATGGCCTCTTCGCCCAGCTCTGCTGGGCTGTGGTTTGCCAGTCTGCAGTCACTTCCGGTCCAGCCACTGACCCTTCGTGGCCCAGGGGTGGCTTAGAGGCCCTTCATAATGTGAGGCCCTAAGCTGCCACTTTGTTAGCTTGTGCCTAAATCTGGCACTGCTGGTCAGCTACTGTACACAGTGTCTAATTTTGCAGCAGAGGCCTCAAATAATGCCTCTGGTGGCCCCCTGTCCAGAGACGAAAGGAATTTTGGTCACTGCAACAGGGTCCATTCTCCAGGGATGGGTATGGCACCCTCTGGTAGCCATGTGACTCTTGGCCCACTCCAGCTCCTCATGGTATCCTCTCTTGCTATTTTACCTTCCATACCTTGATGTTGCTCATAAAGTTTGGGAGGCTGCCCCAGGTTCCCCATAGTGAGTCCAGTCTCCTGCTGTCTTGCCCCCCAGGCACTAAGTTGTAATCCTATGGCCCTACTGGGGCCTTAGGGCACCAGGCACCTTATGAGCTCTGTTTGTGGCTTCCTTCTGCCTCTATAGCCATGCTTGTTCCTCTCAGATGTTACTCTCTATCCAGGTACCACCTTGTACAGGCTCCATCCCTCTTGGCTTTGGCCCACTGATTTTTCTATCTGGGGACTCCTACGCCTCGGCCCACTGGTTCTGGTCTGGTTTCTCAGTACTAGCCTCTCCTTGGTCATGCCTCACTCTGTCAAGGCTCAAACTCTGGACCTTTTGGCAATTGGTCTGCCCTGCCTCACCCTTGGGGCATTTGCTCTGGCCCTCTTGGTTTTAGTCTGCCCCTGTGTCACCCTCTCTTGGCTCAGAGGGCCCCTCTCCAAGCCACAAAGACTCTCTTTAAAGGGCCTTTGCAGATCCTGCCTGTCCCCCAGCCCTCTCCAAGTAACAGGAGGAGAGTTCTCTATTATAGTCACTGGGCTTCTCCTTCTACTTTATGCTGCCAGTGAAATGGCCCTTAAGCTTACAGCTTTGATTTTGTGAGTTCAGGCAGTATGGATTCAATGAGAAGCTACCTTCCTTAAGTACCTTTGAAAATCTGCTTCAGTTTCTCCATTGCCTTTATATGGGGAAAATAACTCTTCTCCTGTGTAGTAAGAATAAACCTATTAATGTTTATGAGACACTCAGATACTATGAAAATGAGCTCTGAAGAAATTTCTGCTAATATATCTATATATATCTACATCTATATATAGATATATAGGAATATATATCTATATATAGATATCTATTATGTATCTGTAATTAAGGGTGGGAAAACAAAATGATTATTTAGCTACCACTCAATGTTTCAGATCAAGAAAATATTGATAAAACCAATGCTTTTACATGAATCAATGACTTTGTTGTTATCTTTTGAGACTTGTTTAACAGAAATACTTTGAAAGGTGCCCTACTTTGCATAGGTATAAGTACACAGAATAGATGTAATTTTCAGCCCTTTCAATTTACAAATTGGTTTGTCACGTGTATTTTTATTTTAACTCTTTTAAATCATCATTGGAGAGATTTTTGTGTTGTTTCCCATGTACTACTATAGATTTCTTTTTATTTATTTTTTGGCAAGGTAGATTTGCTGATATTATCTGCAATTTATCAACTTTGGAAAGGATATTAACACCTGTTTGTGCTTTCAGTATCTTCAAAATCTGGAGTGGTCTTAACTAGGCTTTTAAAATAAGCATCCTGCTCAAAGGGACTCATTGCATGAATAAAAATGAGTTTATGCCCTGAGGCATCTCTGCAGAGCTCTGACAGTAGCAATATTATGCAACAATCTTGGCCTGCTTATGTGAGTAGAGCGACAGATGAATGAAACTGAAGGATCAGAACCTAAATTATGTTACTGTTTAGTTTATCTTTTGCAGGTTCACAAATTATTTGCTTCACCCAAATCTTTGGCTATTTTTGTTGTATGTAATTTGTCATCTAAGCCATATGGTATTGCTTCTGTTCACTGACTGGATGACTGGAGTTCTTGTAAACAGGCAGAATGATGTCAAAGAGATTTCTAGATAGTTGTATGAACACTTTCATGCTGAAGTTTTGTAAATATCAGACTTGGACCAGCATTTCTGAGTCTTTTGCTTTTGATGAAGACTTTTACAAACAACCTATGAAACCATTTGCTTAAAAATAATTTTAAAAGGCTTAAAGAAACTTATGATTATATGTGAGTCAATGTTCAGTTATATTTATGCAGTATTAACCCTCTTTAACACAGATATCAGGATTTAAAAATCATTGTGTACACAAACCTAGTGTTCTCATGTAAAGGGTACAGTGTGCTAAAAGTCTGTATAGATGTTGCATGCAAAAATATCTTGGATTCTCTGGGCCAGTGTCAGTGGCATAACAAGTATCCATTTGTATTCTGTAGTGATGTAGTTTTCCCTTTATAGTAATGTGGGCATGTAGCCAGTAAGAGTGAGATTAATAGACACGTCAGTCAGTTCTATACTATCAAATAGTAGGTGTACCCGTTGGATTTTGTGTAGCCTTTCCTGAGCAGCTCAGGATCAGTTATTTTTATTCTGCCTCTAATTTCTCCCAGGCACCCTTGCTGATTGTGCATCTCCTCCCCAGGGAAGCCCCATATAATTTCCTGCCATGTCTAGCTGTTCTGTTTAAGAGTGAGAGGTTCCCTTCAGGTTGGGACTTGATGGAAGGTGTCATCAGTGCATGTTCCTGGGGCTTCACCTCCTCTACACCCCTCCCATGCGCCAACCAGCTGGATTCACCTGGATGTTAGCCTGACTGAGCACGTCATGCACTGGGCCTCATGGCGAGGCTCTGATATGGGTTTCGAGTATGACAATATGACCACAGTGTCAGGCTGCAAGCTGCATACTACACTTAGTTCCCTTCCTTCTGGGTCCAGCCTAAGAGACCAGTGCGGTGCCTGGTGGTCCTAATTATTGCTTGGGACTGCAGGCCTTCTGGCCCCTGGGTTACCTGATCAACTTTAAATGTCCCCACCTGAAGTCCCAGGGCCCCTGATCCCTTGGCCCCAGTGTCTAGCTTATGGCCTCTCTCTAGGCTCAGGGGTAACAAAAATGTTAAAGAAAAATCCAACAAAAGCTTCAGGGAGGGAGTGCTCCTCCTTCCTACTCACACGTCCTGCATGTTGCATTGTCGTCTGTCCTACAGCATCCTTCCCAGCTCAGTCACCGAGTGTCGCCATGCTGTGAGGCAGACCCTTCTTCAGGACCCCGTCCTGGGTCCTTGCCCTCTTTGGGACTCCGTCTCCAGTCCCGGTATGGAGGCCAGCCCAGCTGTGCTGGCTGGAGCATACAGCCACCTCCCAGCTGTCACTCCCCAGCTTCTCTCTCACAGCTGGCTTTTCTAGGAGCCAGCCGGCATGTCCTGGTAATGTCACTGCCCCACACTGGCTCCAGCCACCTTAATAAGTGACTGGTGAACTGCACGGGTGCTTTCTCCTGTTGCCATCATTCCCTGGTCTCCGTGCCTGCAGCACGTAAGTTTTTTTCTGTTATGGGGGTCTGGAGAATATTCCCTCGGGGCTGCAGAGACTCACCACTGAGGTTCCAGCCCTGGGAAAGAGGTCTCCACCCCTTTTCTCTTGTCACCCTGTGACAGTAGGATCTTTAACAAATCTGCCAAGTCATCTCTCAAATGCTTTTCCCCATGCTAGATGACTTTATTGTATTGAGTCATTGATTTTATTACAATACCACACAATCTAATCTAAAGTAGAAAGAATCCTCTAACAATTGCTCATTGGAAGAAAGAACGTCCTAACTATAAGAGAACAGGAGGCTGTCATTTGAACAGACTATACCAACAGACTGTGGACTCTTCATCATGGGAAGTTTTTAAGTGCAGATCAGACAAACATTTGTCTGGATGGCTCAGACAGGAATGATCCTGATTTAAGCAGGGCACTGAAGTAGATGATTTCTTGTGGTCCCTTCCAGATCAGTTTTTTCTGTAATTCTATCCTCACTATACTATTTGGTATTTAAAAAAATCTCAGATGCAACCCCTCTGAATGTTTTCTCTCTGATAGATACTGTAGTCACTGTAGATATTTCATTTTTCTTTAGCTTTTATTCTTGTTTCCATTTCTGTTCTCTCTGTTTCTCCTTTATCTCTTGTATGCCAATTTTGGTTAAGCCCAGTAACCTAAAAAAGTATAATAATTTCCTAAAAATTGCTCCAGTTGTTTTTGTGCTTGTTACACTGCTGAATTCTTTCTGCTGATTCTTTCTTTGGCTACATCTATCCCTTCACTATCAAGCTGAATCCTATTCTTCTTCTATGTTCTGCAAAATATTACTACTTCTTTCTCAGCCTACCCCTAATGGCAAAACTGTTCTTTAAACTAAGTGGAATGAATCATTCTGGTATGACCAGTTCTGTTCTCTTAGCCAAAGTCCATCTGAATTTCTTTCACTGAGTAGCAATGAACCATAAATAGTAATAGACATTTTGGAATGCCACTTTTACCTTTAGTAAAACAGACAGCAATGCTGTAATGCAGCCACAGATATCCATAAAAAGTAACATTAACCCTTCTGGAGAAACAGAATGATTTGTGAAATCAAACTGTGGGATTAAATAAAGTTTCCCAGGCAAGAGATGAAAGTACAGCTGTGCCAAAGGAAGTGAGAGTCCCATTGCTCTACTATTGCCCCAAGAAAACATGATGTGTAGGATATTTAGAATCAAGCACGGATGTCAGATGGTGGGTCCCTCAGGCTACCTGACGACCTGCAAACTATTAAAGAAGAGGTAACAGCTGCTTCCAGTAAAACTGCAATGAAGATGGAAGTGGATTAAACCCAAAAATGCTGCCCAGATCTCAGAGGAACAAGTCTGGAAAAAAGCATCCTGTGCCTGAGGAAATGGCTTAATACCATCAAGTGAGATCTCTCCAACAATGTATCAAAGAGAAAATATGTTGCAAAGACAGCTGGGAGACACTATGCAGTTGTAACTGCACAAACTTCACAAATCTGTTAAGAGTGGGCCAATCTGAAAAGCTATTGGAGAACTATCGGGATAGTAAACGTACACAAACCGGAAGTGTCTTGAATATGTGTAAACACAAAACAATCTAGCATAATCCATCATTTTGGAGGATTCTGAGTCCAAATAAATAATTTCAGTTTCACGGTGATTTCTAAAGAAAAATTCTTCAAAGGAATGATGTAATTAAGCCAGTTAAGGCCTGTCCAGATCAGTTACGGAAAAGATGGGTCAAAGAAGAACTTCTGACCCTATTACTGTAAATGGAAAAGTTGACAACAGTGGAGCAAAGATCCCAACTCCTCGGTTGTCGTAAAATTGCATGGCTCTATTAATTTTAACAGAACTCCATTTAGTTATATAGCTGAGGATCTGTCTGCACGTTTTATAGTGGTAGTACTGTAGAAATTGTGCACGTGGATGGGTAAGATTTAGACTGAACACAGAACACTAAGAAACTGCAAGAATGGGAAATGTAGTTCTTTTACAACCTATAGTGATGTAGGGAATGACACTGGAAATTTTTTACTTGTCTTGCAGAATGAAAAGAGAAATAGTGTGTTGTAGGAGATAGGAATTATGAAACACTTGGTTCTGTGCTGCACAAGGGCCATGAACCATAACCTAATGAAGTCAATAAACTGTGGGGGGTTTTCCCACTTACTTCAATTGGTTTCAGATCAGGCCTTTAGATCTCAGACTTGCAGGTGAGCTAGTCAGTACTGACTGCCATTGATATTGCAGACAGTTGTGTATGGGACAAGACAGTGAATGCAGCTATACAGAAAAAAGACAAAGATGTCTCGAGTTTTAGCGGGGGGGGGTTTATATAGCATTAAGTTAACACAAGGCTGAAAAATGGTAAGGCATTTATTGTGAGAACACATTTTTCAGAGTTCATGAAGATTATATCCACTTAGCCTGTGCTGCTTAACAATTTTAAATTAGTTTCTACAATGCAGAATGAGTGAAAAAAAATCACACATTTGTATTTTCCTTTTTTGTTGAGATTGTGTGCTGAATCTTGTGTGCTGAGTATAGGATATGGCTAGGGTGGATTCAGGTGAGGATGCAGTGGCATGGCTACAACCTCTTCCACTGTGACGATCATGTCAATAGCTCTGTTTCCCTATGCCTGGGAATCCTGCAGGGTCTGAAGCATAGCTGGAGCCCTGGGCTAGAGTGGGACACCTGGAGGACAAAACAGTTGAAGAAGGGAAATCCACCTGCTCCTGCCATTGTCACTAATTGACCCAGAGGCAAGGAAGTCCCAGGACGACTACTGCCTATTTCCAGCCAATGGCTGCAAGGAGCAGCTGCACGGGATGCTGGGAACAATGGCAGTGGCAGGTTCAAGTCTCTGCTCCCTCCCCCACTACCACATTTCCCACACTGGCCTTGGGGTTCTAGTAGCAGGGAGCAGCTGCAAGGAGGGCTGGGCATGGTGATATCAGTGGGTGATCCCCCCTGCTCCAGCATCTGCCAAGAAAGACAAACAGGGGGTGGTCATGGAGCAGAAGCATTTGGAAGTTCGGGGGAGGCAGGGGTCACCCACTGACACTGAGGTCTCAGCCCTGCCCAGCACCCCATGTAGCCACTTCCCACGGTCCTGTGCTGGAGCAGGGCAGGAGTGTTTCTAGGGCTCCCCACATCACCAGGTCAGCTGGAGACAGCAGCAGCAGAGGGCTTAAAGGTGCTCCTGTTCCCTGCCTGCTTCCCAGGTGTTGCCTGCAATCCAGCAGTAGACACTGGAAGCGGGGACCAGCCTGGCACCCCATGCTGACACTTACCAAAGCCCTTGGCTAGTGCAGGGTAGGAGCAGCCCTGGGGTTCTCCCTTTCTTCCCTCCAGACCAGTTGGGAACAGATATGAAGCCCGCTTCTTGCACCCAGAGGCAACTGATGCTGGAGATAGTGAGAAAGGAATGGAAGGGGAGGCAGAAGTACCTGAATTTCAGGAGAGAGGATGGTGAGAGTGGTGGGAGGAGTCTTAACTACTTTGGGGGTTCCAGAAAGTCTAGGGCAGCTGCTACTGTGGTGCAGTGTGCCCAAAGAGGGGGCCAGCAACCACCCTGTGGCACTGATAGAACTTGCCACATCATCCCTTTCTTTAGAGTTCCTACATCTGCCCATGGATATGACTAGCTCTGGTTAAATTTAATGGTACATTCCAACAAAAGGCTTGAGTATTGATATATTGGCACATTCTATAGTAAAATGTTTTTTCTGAAAACTCCTTTCTCAGTTTAAATCGTCTGGTACTCCTCCTAACCTCAGGTACTGAGTCTCTCTCTCTTTTATATGTAATCAAATATATAACCTAACATAATTTTTATTTTCTTTTGTCCAGAATCTCCTGGAGATCATTCATACATGGTTGATCTTGCAACTCCAATCTACTTACTACAGGAAGTGGGGGAGGGGCGGGGGAGGACATTATGCCTTCACTAGCTACAACTGTATAATGCCTTCTTGAAAAGGGCAAGTTGTACATTCATGCCACTCCACCATTATAAGATCAAGGCTAAGTTGATTTTTGAGTAGTTCTGATTATACTATATTGTGTTAAAATGTTTTGCCTAACCATGTAATCAAATACACTAGATACCATCTGTTGCTAGCTGTTTGCAAACACCACAAAACAACAACAACAAAGTAGTTAATAAAATATGCAACTACAAATTCAGGCACTGTACTTGAAAAATACAAAAGCATTAAAAGGCATTCAGCTCAAATCTGATCAGATACACATTTAAATGCAGTGCACTGCAGACAAAGCAGCACATACATTGTTAGAGCAGCAGTTTGCATCATAGTAAAGACAAGTAGAAAAGGTTTTGCAAAACCTGGCAATTTATGCAATGTGTGTGCAGCCAGATATGTAAAGGGTAATTTTCTCACAATGGATCTGATGGATAGTATTATAGACACCCCACATGTAAAAGAGTGTTGATATACTGTATTCTGGTATGTCGAGTCTTTTAAATTAAGTACAGAATCTTTTTCTTTTACATAAAAAAGAAAAGGTATTTCCATAAGCATGATTCAAATCCAAAGCACTTATTCTCTTTGATTTTATGGGCAAAAGGAAACGCTGCTATGACCCCCTCCCCCTTTATTATATAGCCTAAAAAACTCACCCACTAATTCCTATATAAAATAGCTTGTTGAACTTGCACATATTTGTTGGAGACATCCAGTCTTAATTTAAACCTGATGGAAACTTTATAAGAACCCTGAGTAATTATTATCATTATCTTTTGTAATCTCTGGGCACTTTTACATGTGCTCCAGGGGTGGCAGGGGCAACACTTTATTAGACAGGCTCTCGGAGCTGCTCTAATTAAAGCACTGCCATGTCTCCTGTATCAGTATCTCTGCGCTTAAAAATGGTGGTGGGGATGCTTGAACTAAAGCTTGTTCAGTGAGCTTTATTTCAAGGACCCCCAACACCATTTTAAAGTGCGGGGACGCTGATACACAAGATGCAGGAGGCTGCTGCAACACGATTAATCGAGCGTGCTCTGATGTGCTGAAATTCCAG